CAGGGGCTGCCGCTGCAGCTCCTGCTTGAGGCTGTCGTGGGAACAGGCTAAAGATAGCCTGTTCCGAAAACCCTGGTTTTGTGCCTGACTGTTAGGACAGGTCGATCTTATGAGGGCCCGAAAGTGGCCCTCCTTTCAGGCTGAAAAGCCTCAGGGCTGAAAAGCCCTGTTTTAGGCCGAAACGACATAGGGCCTGCAGACCCTCGTTTTTCGGTCTTTCAGGCTGAAACGACAGGGGCCTGTAAGCCCTTATTTATAGGCTTTTAGGCTGGGAATGCGGGACGGGCCCTGCAGGCCCGTGTGGCTACGCAGTATGCCACCCCCCCCCCTCCTTGAAAGACCGAGCTTACCTGCGAGGGCGAAGCTGTCTGTCTGAGGGAGGGACCACAGTCCGGGTGGGAGGGGCAGGTCGTGAAGGTCCCTGAGCTAACCTTTGTCGCTCGTAGTGAGCGTAGATCAGTGGTGCGGATGCTTTCAAATTTGTTCCTGAAATCCACCGAGTGTCGTCGGGATCGCATGCTCTGAATGTAGCCTTGTACTGGCGAGGCTTGCTGTCGTACTTGCGATCCGTGATGACGCCGTCAACTCCCTGATGACCATCCATAGATGGAGGCTCCTGCGATCGTCGGCCCGGGAAGTAGTCACTCTTAGTTGGTGTATATGTTGCCAGCTTCGAGGCGTGAAAGACTCGATGGACCGTCAGATGCGCAGGGATATTGATCACAAATGAAGGGCCATCGGGCTCATCGCCCGCGGCTGATGTTACGGGCCATGGTCCAAACCACTTGGGAAGCAGTTTGCATGAAACATCCTGTTCCAGTGCAAACTCTTCCGCGGAGACCCAAACCAGATCGCCGGCGCAGATGGGACACGGCACGCGACGCCTGTTGGCTTGCTTCTGCATGCGGACTTGAGCCTTTTGCATATTTGTGCGGGCTTGAGCCAGCAATTCCCTGTACTTCCGGACGGAAGCGGGAGAGCAAGCGGCGTCGATGTCGGCTGGTCGTGGGAGGAGAAGGTCGGCGAAGATACGGCCTTTCCGTCCACCATGGTGCAACTCGAATGGAGTCACGCCGATCGTCGGGTGCACCGAAGTGTTGTAGGCGAACTCGATGTCGGGGAGGCGGTCAACCCAATCTTTCTGGTCTGGACGGATGAGTGTACGAAGCATCATTTGAGCAGTTTGATGTGCCCGCTCCGTTTGCCCGTCCGTCTGTGGATGCCAAGCCGAACTTGGTTTCATCTTCGTGCCAGACTCCTGCATGAGAGCAGTCCAAAATGCCGACATGAAGCAAGTGTCCCGGTCGCTGACTATGTCTTCCGGTACACCGTGGCCGCAAATCCAGCCGGTGTGCAAGAGGCATGCCAGCTCGGGACCCGTGGAGTAGTACTTGCAAGGGAGAAACCGCGCATACTTACTCAAGCGGTCCACAACCGTGAGGATGCTGTCGTGCCCGAGGCGATCGCGGGGAAATGGTCCGGTGACATCCATGGCAATGGAGAGGCCGGGTTCCCGTGGGATAGGCATCGGGCGCAACTCGCCGTAGGGGTTGCGATTGTGGGGCTTGCTTCGTCGGCAAACTTCGCAAGAGTCGCAATACCGAGTGACATCGGTAATGAGGTCGGGCCATCGGAATCGTTGTCGAAGCCGTGCAATAGTGCGGTTGACTCCGAAATGGCCAGCGAGTCGCGAGTCATGGTACTCCCCGAGAAGGCGAGTCCGAAGACGACGGTCTCGTGGGACACATAATAAGTCC